TTATGGGAGTTGAAGTCCATGAGTCATAAAAGGGCCAAGTTTGAAGACCCCTGGCTTAGTGACTAAGTTACAGTGGCACTGAAAAAAAGTGACTGATCAGCATTTTTCACACTTATGACTGTTGCAGCAGACCCAAGGTACTTGTGATCAAAATTCAGATGCATTGCAACTGACTTGTACTTATGACAGTTGCAGTGTCCTGGGGGTCATGTGATCACTTTTTTGCAGGGTTCCGAAAAGTAAAGTCAATGGGGAAGCCAGATTCACTTAACGACCGTGTTACTAACTTAACAACTGCAGTGATTCACTTAACAACTGTGGCAAGAAAGGTTGTAAAATGGGGCAAAATTCACTTAACAACTGTGGCTTAGCAATGGAAATTTTGAACTCAATTGTGGTCATAACTCGAGGATTTACCAGTACTTTGTGCAGGTGCAAAAAAATAAATAGCTGACTAACTGTCATCCAACGTCTTAGTGGACAATCACTTAAATATGAGCCAGCCGTGTGCTGCAGCTGCCAAAAAGCCAACACAGTGCTGGGCTGCATTAACAGAGGGATAGAATCAAGATCAAATGAAGTATTAATGCCATTTTACAATGCCTTGGTAAGGCCACACTTGGAATAACGGCATCCAGTTTTGGTCACCACGATGTAAAGAAGAAGTTGAGACTCTAGAAAGAGTGCAGAGAAGAGCAACAAAGATGATCAGGGGACTGGAGGCTAAAACATACAAGGAATGGTTGTTGGAATTGGGGATGTCTAGTAGTTTAACGAAGAGAAGGACGAGGAGAGACATGATAGCAGTGTTCCAATATCTCAGGGGCTGACCCAAAGAAGAGGGAGTCAAGCTATTCTCCAAGGCACCTGAAGGCAGGATAAGAAGCAATGGATGGAAACTAACAAAAGAGATAAGCAACCTAGAACTAAGGAGAAACTTCCTGACAGTGAGAACAATTAACCAGTGGAACAACCTGCCTCCAGAAACTGTGAATGCTCCAACACTGGAGGTTTTTAAGAAGAGACTGGACAGCCATTTGTCTGAAATGGTATAGGGCAGGCATGTCAAACTTGCGATATCACATGATGTCGCACAATGTATCAGGCCGGTTTTGCCATTGCCGGCAATGGGGTGGGCGTGGCTTCCATGTGATGCATCCGCCCCACGGGCCGGCAGTTTGACACCCCTGGTATAGGGTTTCCTGCCTGAGCAGGGGGTTGGACTAGATGACCTCCAAGGTCCCTTCCAAGTTTTATTATTATTATTATTATTATTATTATTATTATTATTATTATTATTAACAAGGTGCTAAATTGGATTGGCACCTGGATGAGGAACAGTCCAGGTAACAGTGAAAGCAAAAAGCCATAAAATATGCAAGACTTCAAATCTGACTGAACTCTTCCCCTTAGAGAAAATCCTTGTGGCTTCCACAAGCTTGCTCCATTCATGCAAAAAAAAAAAAAAAAAGCAAGATTCTGTGTCCTTTCCACCTTCTCTGATTCAACTGGACTCGATAACCCATGATTTTAAAGTGTCCTCTCCCAAACATTCTCGCCTGGCCCATACTTGGCATTCAAAGATAGAACTGGGCTGAATATGGAAGCTCTACTTTAGCCTCAACATTAAGAAAACCAAAATCATGGCATCCGGCCCTCTCAATTCCTGGCAAATAGATGGGGAAGAAATGGAGGTAGTGACAGATTTTATTTTTCTGGGCTCCAAGATCACCTCAGATGGGGACTGCAGCCAAGAAATTAAAAGACGCTTGCTCCTGGGGAGGAAAGCTATGGCAACTCTAGACAGCATACTAAAAAGCAGAGACATCACCCTGCCAACAAAAGTGCGTATAGTCCAGGCCATGGTTTTCCCAGTTGCAATGTATGGCTGTGAAAGTTGGACCATAAGAAGGCTGAGCGCAAAAGAATTGAGGCCTTTGAACTATGGTGCTGGAGAAGACTCCTGCGAGTCCCTTGGACTGCAAGGCGTTCAAACCTGTCAGTCCTAGAAGAGATCAACCCCGACTGCTCTTTAGAAGGCCAGATCCTGAAGTTGAAACTCAAATATTTTGGCCACCTAATGAGAAGGAAGGACTCACTGGAGAAGGGCCTAATGCTGGGAAAGATTGAGGGCAATAGAAGAAGGGGACGACAGAGAATGAGGTGGCTGGATGGAGTCACTGAAGCAGGAGGAGTGAGCTTCAATGGATTCCAGAAGATGGTAGAGGACAGGAAGGCCTGGAGGAACGTTGTCCATGGGGTCGTGATGGGTCGGACACGACTTCGCAATTAACAACAACAACAACAACTTTAGCCTCAGTCTCTCTCACACACATGGGTCTAATTCCCTAGCATAGGGAATTATCTATCCCAGGGGATATACTGCTCCTGACCACTGAGGCTCGCTAAATTAAAACCCACCAGGCTATCTTCATCACCATAATTCAACAATTTATCCAGTTCTGAGCCTCCAAAGCCATGGTGCTCATCTTGAAAATTATAAACCACCCAAGAATCTGTTGACTTAGTACAGCGGTTCTCAACCTGTGGGTCAGGACCCCATTTGGGGTCGAACGACCATTTCACGGGGGTCGCCAAACAACGCAGTCCGCCATTTTCCCCCCCTTTTCCTTAGCTGTGCTCCTCCCTTTTATTCTATTGGCTTTTGAAAGCCAATAGAAGAGACTCTCTTGAATAGAGTCTAATTCTATTGGCTTTCAAAAGCCAATAGGAATTGTCCAGGCTGTTTCTGCCCTCCTGAGCCCGCCAAAAGTCCCATTCTGCAAATGGTGCTGCACCAGTTGAGTAGTCCTCGACTTACGACTGGTTGAGTAGTCCTCGAGTTACGACTGGTTGGGGGTCGCGACATTAAAAAGGTTGAGAACCACTGACTTAGTAAGATTAGGATATAAATTGAATAAATAAAAATGTGATCGTTGACGTTTTATTGTCGACGTGTTCTCATCGTGTTCTTTTTCATTATTTTACTTCATTTTTTAATTCAAGAAAATTAAAACACAAAAGCCCAAAGAGAGAGAGAAAAAAAATCACATTTTTTTTCTTTTTCATGTTCTTGTTTAGTTTCGTTTTCACTATTTTGCTTCCTTTCCGTTTCCACTTTCTCTCTTTTTTTTTTCCTTTTCATGACTGTAAGCCGCCTAGAGAGAGTAGCCCCCCTAGGGTGAAACAGGCGGCATATAAATTTAACAATTAATTAATAAAATATATATATATATTTTAAAAAAGATCCCAATTCCCCAAAAGGTGGTACAGTCCCATTCCCAACGGCTTTCCCGTGCAAACACAACCCCGGAGGATGCAATTCTTGCAAGCTCTCCGGAGGGGGAGGGGACGGGTGCGTGGAAGCGCCCCCCCCATTTTGCGCTGTTCCCTCCTCCTTCTCCCCCCCTCCTCTGCATTTAACGCAGTGGGGAGAACGCGGTGACGGCATCCGCCGGCCTCAACTGAATTCCTCGGCAGTTGAAAAAAGCAAAAGTCGGCCGCCGAGGTGGGTTGGTGTGTGCCGGGCGGAGGGGTGAACGGGGGTCGCGGGGCAAATGAGGTTTCTCTGCGGCAACGGGGGTCGTAGAGCGGGGGACGAAGGGGGGGCAAGTGGGGGCGCAGATCGAGCCGAGATCTAAGGAGGTCTGCGGGGGGGGGGGAGGAGAGAGAGGAGGGGGGCTGTCGGCGGCTTTCAGCACACGCGGAACCCCAAGCTTTGAACCCAAGTCCGGGAAGTGAACAGCCTTAGAGAGGAAAAATCCGAAATGATGAAGGTGGGGAGAGGGCCGCCATCCGTAATAAATTTCTCCAAATAGACATTTTCATCTCTCTCCTGACCAGCGGAATAACTGAGCCCAGAGTCGTTTGGGATAGTGAGATAGATGGGCGGGTATAAATGCGATTGATTGATTGATTGATTGATTGGGAGATAGATAGATAGATAGATAGATAGAGATGAAGAGAGACAAAATGGATGGATAGATACGGAGAGATGGATAGAGAGATGTAGATGATGGATAGATAGATGATAGATAGATAGATATGGAGAGATGAATAGAGAAGAATGGATGGATATGAAGATGGATAGAGAGATAGATATGAAGAGATTAATAGAGACAAGATGGATGGATGGATGGATGGATACAGAGAGATGGATAGAGAGATGTGGGTGATGGATGGATAGATAGATACATAGACAGACAGACAGGGTGAGATGAATAGAGATGGATGGATATGGAGATGGATAGAGAGATAGATATGATTAATAGAAACAAGACGGATGGATGGATGGATATGGAGAGATGGATAGAGAGATGTGGGTGATGGATGGATGGATAGAGATAGATAGATAGATAGATAGATAGATAGATAGATAGATAGATAGATATGAATAGAGAAGAGATGGATGGATGGATATGAAGATGGATAGATAGATATGAAGAGATTAATAGAGAAGATGGATGGAAGGATAGATGTGGGTGATGGATGGATGGCTAGATAGATAGATAGATAGATAGATATAGATAGATAGATAGATAGATATGGAAATATGAATAGAGAAGATGGATGGATAGGTTATAGATGATAGATGTGAAGTGAGAGAGAGATGTGGGTGGGTGGGTAGAGAGAGACTATATATGCATGGATGATTGGAGATGGATACACCAATTCCTTTTATTAGAAGGTTAAACTTTCTTAATTTATTGAATTAAATTTCACGATTTCATTAAAAGGCATAAAATCAGGAAAGCTTCGATCTTTGAATTAAATAGATAAACCCTCTAGATTAACACTCTGGACATTTTATAAGGATGTACTGGGATAGCTCATTAATCTAGCGATTGCAGCCAAATCCTCATTCTAGGCTGCTTTTTTTTTTTTTTTTGCCCGCGACAGCAATTCTTTTATAATTTTCTCTTAATTTATTTCCTTGATCTTTCAGAAGGATAGTTTGAGTCCCGCCCCGCCCCCGCCCCTCTTTCCCTTCCCACGTCTACACGTGCACTCTAAACCCCTCGTGAGGGAAAAAAATGGGTTCATCCATACGACCCAAGAGACCCCCGACGCGTCCCCACTCTCAGTCGTCCTTAAGGGTAGGAATGGATAGTCGCGCGGGGGCGCGCGCGCAGACTCGGGTTCGATGGGTTCACACGACCTAGAGGACCGTGGCGACGTGGAAGCTCGCAAAAGGGATGGGTTTAGAAGAGCAAGTGACATGGTCTCCCTCCCCCCCCCCGCAGGGACGGAGGTCTGGGGGGAGGGGGAACCCCTTCTTAACGTCTTTTTCCCGCAGGGAGCATGGCCCATACCCTTCCCATTCCCTGCCCGGTCAAACTCGGGACGGTGAAACTCGAGAGCCCCGAAGCTCGTCTGCACGACTACGTCAAGCAGGGCAACTACGTCAAAGTGAAGAAGCTGCTCAAGAAAGGTAATTCGCGCGTGCAAAAAGGGGGGCGCGTGTGCGCTTTGCGCTTGTTTTCTTGCAAATTTGAGGTTTCGTCTTGCAAACTTTTAACGGGTCTCAATCGGCCCCTGGCGCCTGTTTCTTCTTTTGTCTGGGAAAGACGCGTGAAATGCGCTCAGACACGGGTGCATCGTGGGTTGTTGTTTCTTTTATTAACGAGCTCGTGGAAGCGGAGGTGGCCTGGCGCGCGGGGCTTGCAGGCTTTCCCGCTGCAAAGTTGCAAGGTGGATTTCGGCGGAGCGTTTTGGCGCGCGGCCCGATGCAAAGAGTTCCACGGCCCATCGGTTCCCTTCCCACCTCCCAAAGCCGGCGCTGGATGCATCCTCCGGACCTCCCACCCCCCCCCCCCGCCTTTGCCCGGGCCCCAATTAGAATCTGCTGGGGCATTTTCCTTTATTTTATTTTATTTTGCATTTGAACGCGTAAGACCCGAGTTACAGCGAAGGCTAGAAGAAAAAAAGGGTTTTGGAAGGATTGTAAGGACGCGGAGTCCGCAGACTGTAAACGGGACACCGTCCTGGGCCGAGATTTACACCCGTCATCGCTTAATATAGGATGCACCCCAGGGGTGATCAAACGTCGTGCGAACGGAGGATGGCGATAGGTTGACAATCTCCAACTATAACGTGATTCCCCCCCCTCCTTTTTAATATGTCTTTGGGGATAGTTACCCAGCTGAGGTCAGAAGTACGGTACTTTTGTATGAATCCAGGTGCAGAAAAAGCTGTCTGAATGGTTGAGTTTCCTAATTCCCCGTTGCTAATCCGAATTCTGCCTTCTTGGCTTTGCTTGCAACGCTTTGCAATACTACAAGTTGCAGCCATTTGTCTGAAATGTATAGAGCAGTGGTTCTCAACCTTTTTAATGCCGCGACCCCCAACCGGTCGTAAGTCGAGGACTACTCAACCGGTCGTAAGTCGAGGACTACTCAACTGGTGCAGCACCGTTTGCAGAATTGGACTTTTGGCGGGCTCAGCAGGGCAGAGACAGCCTGGACAATTCCTATTGGCTTTTGAAAGCCAATAGAATTAGACTCTATTCAAGAGAGTCTCTTCTATTGGCTTTCAAAAGCCAATAGAATAAAAGAGAGTAGCACAGCTAAGGAAAAGGGGGAAAAAATGGCGGACTGCGTTGTTTGACGGCCCCCGTGAAACGGTCGTTCGACCCCAAATGGGGTCCCGACCCACAGGTTGAGAACCACTGGTATAGGGCTTCTTCCCTGAGTAGGGGGTTGGACTAGATGACCTCCAAGGTCCCTGCCAACTTTATTATTATTTCAGCTATAGCTTCATTCCATACAGCATTAACCTTGTGAACTCTCAAGCTTCCTCCTTCCGTTCTATATTCAAGATGGACAGTATTTAATATTTGTTACGTGGGGTCTATATGTTGTGTATATAGTATGTTTTAGGTGTGTGTCATGTATGCTTCACTTTCAGAGCGGGCAACTATATTTCATTTTTTGATGTGTGCCGTTGTGCCCACAGTAAAAAAAATGACAATAAAGGTTATATTTTATCTTATTATTATTATTAAAGTTCAGGAGCGTCCATTAACCATAGACGCGGGCATAGGAGGAAAGCTTGGCAATTGAAACGAGTAAAGCCCCTCCTCCAGGTGGAGCGTGATTGGTTGTCCGTTTCCCCGATGTAAATTTAAAAAAAAAAAACGAAACCCAGAGGGCTTATGGGCTTGCTCGGATTGCTATCAATATACGTCCTGGAACAGTATTTTTCCAAATAATTTCCTCGGGAATATTAGGAATTTATGATTGGTTGTGGAAGGAAACAAAGCCGCGAAGCCGTGTTCGTGGTTAGGTAGGCGGTCGCTGTGACCTGAAGAGGGGTGGCTGCGGGTGAGGCCGTGGAGTCGCGGAAGGATCCGTTAAGACTATACTTTCAGGGATCATTTCTATAGTATCCAACTAGAGAAATGCACTCGAAAGTGATCGGCTGAGCGAGCCACGAGGAGGAGGCGTAGTGTTCTTTCCTGAGCGCGAAGCGGGCAGACGGTGCTACTTCGCGTAGCTGCCGTCTGCTATTGATGACCGTTCCGCCTCTTCAATGCGAAGAGGTTGGAGGGAGAGAACGCAGTCTGAGTGGTTCGCTCGCTTCCCCACCCCTTTTTATTAACTAAGTGAAATGGAAGAAAAATTTTCTTGAGTCATGTCCCGTGTATAGTTTTCTCGCGGTTGCGTTCCCACTTTCCGAATTCCCTTTTATTCTTATGGAGAAGAAGCGGATTTGCAAGCGTTGAGCATCAAGCTTTCCTTGTCGGTTTATTGTAGTAAATCTGTGCACAGACCTGTGCAATAATTAAAGAGAAAAATTAACTTTTCACCAGATATTTTTAATCCCTGCAATTTTTAAGGCGCTGGGACTTCTACATCCTGTATGCTGACGTAGAGGATTCTGGGAGTTGAAGTCCCCGTGTGTTAACAGTTCAGAAGTCGAGAAGCTGTTACATGTGCCGAGATGGCGCAGCAGTTAGAGTGCAGTACTGCAGGCCACTTTACTGACTGTTCAGCAGGTCAGCGGTTCAAATCTCATGGCTCAAGGTTGACTCAGCCTTCCATCCTTCTGGGGTAGGTAAAATGAGGACCCAGATGGTTGGGGGCAATGTAAATATATATATATATATACATTGCTTACTGGTGTACACCGCTTAGAGAGTGCTTGCACTTAAAGTGGTATATAAGTCTCATAAATAAATAAATAAATGTGCTTCCGGGTTCTGCTCATGGTCCCTGACTGACACAACCACAGTCCAGGTTTTAAGATTATTTTAAGAATTAAGAATTCTTAAAGAATGTAAGAATTGAATTCATAGTCCAGGTTAAGAATTTTAAGAATTAAGAATTCTTAAGAATTTACATTTCTAAAGAATTTTTTGCGAGGGTTATTATTCCTCTTCCTTTTTTAGCAATTCCTTTATTTTATTGTGTAATCTGCACAGGCCAGTACATTAATTCAGGGGAAACGAAGTTTCACAGAATACTTTTAATCTCTGCAACTTTTAAGAGGTTGGGATTTCCAGTTCCAGAATTCCTCAAGTCAAAAAGCTGACTGTAGGATTCTGGGAGTTGAAGTCCACATGTATTACAGTTGCTGAGTTTGGGAAATAGTTACATCAGGGGTCTTCAAACTTGGCCCTTTTATGACTTGTGGACTTCAACTCCCATAATTCCTCAGCCAGGTACACTGGCTGAGGAATTATGGGAGTTGAAGTCCACAAGTCATAAAAGGGCCAAGTTGGAAGACCCCCTGCATTAAGGGACGCACCAAGTGTGCAAACAGCTCCTCCCTTCCCAGATGCAAATTAAAAACCAGGGGGATTATGGTCTTGCATGGATTGCTAACAATATATGCTATGGAGCAGCATTTTTCTAAATAAACTCTCCGGGATTTCCGAAATTTATGACTGGCTATGGAAGGAAATAAGGCTGCAAAGCCCTGTTTGTGGTTAGGGAGGCGGTCGTTGTGACCTGAAGAGGGATGGCTGTGGGTGAGGCCATGGAGTCCCAGATGGATCCATTAAGACTATACTTTTGGAGATTATTTCTATAGCATCCAACTAGAGGGATGCACTCAAAAGTAATTGGTTGAGTGAACCATGAGGTGTCTTCTGGGCATGAAGCTGGCAGGTGGTGTTACTACTTTGAGTAGCTGCCTTTTGCTATTGATGACTGTTCTGCTTCTTCAATGCAAAGAAGATGCAGTCTGAGTGGTTTGCTCACTTCCTCACCCTTTTATTTTTTTAATTATTGTGAAATACAGATAGTCCTTAACTTGCGACAGTTCACATTCAAACTTACACCACATTTACAACCATTGCAGCATTCCTGTGATCAAAATTCAGTTGCTTGATAACTGACTGATATTTGCTTTTGTGACCTTCTGACCAGTGATCCCCTTTTGTGACCTTTTGACCAGCAAAGTCAATGGGGAAGCCTGATCCGCTTAAGAACTGTGTTCTCTCGCTTAGCAGTATAAATTCTGGGCCCAATTAAAGCCATAAATCGAAGACACTCTGTAAAAGAAAGTTTGTTTTTTTATTTCCTGTCTTCCTTGGTGGTTGCAGCCTGCAAGGATTTAGTATCTGTATTCTTTTTCTAAGTAACCCCTTGTTTTTATTTACTATCTAGCAGTTGGTTTAATCCACCAGAAAGGGTCTGCTTTTTAATTTAGGTAGTCCTTGACATACGACTACAATTGAGCCCAAAATTTCTGCTGCTAAGCAAGACATTTGAATGAGTTTTGTTCCATTCTATGCCCTGTATTGCCACAGCTGTTAAGAGACTCACTGCAGTTCTTAAGCTAGTAACACCGTTGTTAAATGAATTGGGCTTCCCCCATTGACTTTGCTTGTCAGAAGGTCGTAAAAGGGGATCACGTGACCCCTAGGGACACCGCCATCGTCATAAACACAGGCCAATTGCCAAGCGTCCAGATTTTGATCACATGTCCACAGGGATACTGCAACAGTTGTAAGTGGGGAAAATGGTCATAAGTCACTTTTTTTCAGTGTTGTAACTTCGAACTGTCACTAAAGAAATGGCTGTAAGTCAAGAACTACCAATAGTATCAGTTAGCTCAGGGGTAGGCTCTTTTATGACTTATGGACTTCAACTCCCAGAATTCCTGAGCCAGCCATGCTGAGGGGAAAGAGAGAGGTTTCCATCCTGAGCTATGCTGGCTCAGGAATTCTGGGAGTTGAAGTCCACGAGTCATAAAAGAGCCAAGGTTGCCTACCCCTGAGTTAGCTGGGAAAAGGGCTACAAGAGTCCTGTTTTTTTTGCTACAAGAAACCTGCCCAGACCTATGCACGGGTGAAGCAAACGGGGCAGTGCTAGTGCCTACATAACGCTCGCTAGCCCTGCCCCATTTTCGCCACATGGGTACTAGTGCTGCCCTGTTTTCGCCACATGGTGCCATTTAGGCCACATGGAGGCTGCATGGAGCCCCGTTTAGGCCATGCGGAGTCCCGTTTAGGCCGCCTGGAGTCCTGTTTAGGCCACCCAGAGCCCCATTTAGGCCACCCAGAGCCCCATTTAGGCCACACAGAGCCCCATTTTGGCCATGCGGAGCCTCGTTTAGGCCGCACGGCTTCGTTTAGGCCATGCGGAGCCCCATTTAGGCCGCATGGAGCCTCGTTTAGGCCGCACAGCCACACGGAGCCCCGTTTAGGCCATGCAGCCGTGGAGCTAGCAAAAGTGGGAATGAGTAGTTACACTGGCCAGCCTGTCCCGCGGCCTGATGGTCAGCAGGCCACGACCTGGTAGTGGCCGTGGGCCACGGCCCACAGGTTGGGGACCCCTGGCTTAAGGCACTGTTTCTCAACTGCGGCAACTTTTTTTTTAATTGAATTTTTTTTAAAATTTTACAAAAACAAAACAATTTTCCCCCAAACCTCCCCAACCCTCCCATTCCCTCCCCTGGCCTTCCCAGAGCTGAATATAGGCTTAATTAAAGTTTCTTCGAAAAATCTTAAAAAAGATATAAACCATAAATAAATCTAAATACACTACTTAAGAAAATTATAAGATAATTAACAATAGTGTGTATATAAAAAACATAAATACAAAAAATAAATGTTTAGAAAAGAAAAGAATAAAGAAAAGGAAAAAAGAAGAAAGATAAAAAATATTAAATTTTAAATATAAGTTATTAAAAAACTAAATAATATTTTTTTATATCCAACTTGTGTTGTATAAAATCTATCCATTTTTTCCATACCGCAACATACTTCTCTTGCGATTGATCCTTCAAGAAATCCGAAATCTTTGCCATTTCCGCCAAATAAGAAACTTTAAGAAACCACTCTTGTAAAGTAGGCAAAGATTCCTTCTTCCAACATTGCCCTACTAACAACCTTGCGGTTGTAATTAAATTTAACATCAATGTAATCTCTTTGGTATCACAATCAGTAACAATACCTAACAAAAACAATTGTGGGGTAAATTTTACCCTCCTTCTAAAAATTCTTTGAATATTCCACCATATCTTAATCCAAAAGGCTTTTATATTTTTACACGACCACCAGATATGATAATAAGTAGCATCCAAACATCCACATCTCCAACATTTAGGCTGTAAGTCAGAATACATACGAGACATTTTTTGTGGATCAAGGTGCCATCTGTAAAACATTTTATAAAAGTTCTCCCTTAAGTTCTGGGCTTGTGTAAATTTGACATTCCTCACCCAAATAGTTTCCCAGGTATCTAGTAGAATTGGTTCACCAAAGTTTTGTGCCCATTTAATCATACATTCTTTAACTAATTCCACTTCTGAATCCAATTCTACTAACACCCCATAAATTCTCTTAATGTGAGTTCATCTTTGATCTTTTACTTGTTTGAAAAAGTTTTCATCTTCTCTAAGCAAACCCATGTTACGATCTATCTTCCATCTATCCGCTATTTGTCTATACTGAAACCATGAATATATAATATTTTCTTGTGTTAAATCTTCCAAAGATTTTAACTGCCAATTTTTACCATCCCATCTAAGTAATTGTGCGTAAGAAACTCTATCCATCTTAACTCCTCTCCTTATCCCTTCTATCGCATGCCGTGGTATGGCCCATAATGGAAGTTTGGAATCACTTCTGTAATATTTCCTCCATACCCGAAGTAAAGAAATCCTTATAATATGAGATTTAAAAACCCTATCAACCTTTTTATTAAAAATTAAATAGGCATGCCATCCAAAAAGTAAATCCCAACCCTCCAAGAGGAGTATTTCTACGTTTGTTAAAACTACGGCAACTTTTAAGAAGTGTGGACTTTAACCCTTATTGGCTGGGGAATTCTGGGAACTGAAGTCCATACGTCCTTAAAGTTCCCAAGTTTGAGAAACACTGTGATAGTGGGATAAGCTGTGTTAGCGGTAGCGATGTGGAAGTGCTTTGGTGTCTTTCAAAAACTCTCAGAGCATCTTTCTTTTTTTGAAGAAGCCACAATTTGCCAGATCCACATGTTGCATTAAGGTACACACCCTGTTCAGAACCCATAATGCTAAATAAAGATCAAACCCAATGGGGGTTTTAAGGGTTTTGGGAATTAAGATCTAGTATGTTTGCAAAAAAAAAAAAAAAAAGTTGGCTTTGTGATCATAGGATACCTGTTTATTTATTAAATTTATATGCTGCACATCTCACTATTCAAAGTGACTCTAAGGTAGTTTACAATGTAAAAAATAAATCATAAATATCTAAACCAGGGGTCTTCAAACCTTGGCCCTTTTATGACTTGTGGACTTCAACTCCCAGAATTCCACAGCCAGGCACGCTGGCTGAGGAATTCTGGGAGTTGAAGTCCACAAGTTAAAAGGGCCAAGTTTGAAGACCCCTGATCTAAACGTTGACTTAGGTCGAAATTGCACTACATTCTCCCTCCTTCCAGCCGTTTGCAACCCTGTGTGACAAGTTAAGGAGCGTTTATTCCTATAAACACGTTCATAGGACGAGCATTTAGCAAATGTAGCAGCTTGTTTTATGTAAGGAAACAGACGCAGCTCTCATTTGAAAGGAATTCTCTGTCACCTGCAATCCTTTGGCAGTGACATAGTTAACAGCTCCCTATCAAGAGAGTGACGCCTTGTAGGACCCGCCTTTTCCGGACGTGTATCTTTGAGCCCCCGAGTAAAGAAGCTCCTCCTCTCCAGGTGATGCGTGATTGGTTGTCCCGTTCTCCGATGCAAAGCTAAAACCAAGGGGCTTATGGGATCTGTCGTTTCGATAACAATATGTGCTTTGGAACAGTGGTTTTGTAAATAAATTAATCCGGTTGTTCGAAATTGTATTACTGGCTGGGGAAGGAACGAACACCGCGAAGCCCTGTTCGTGTTTAGGGAGGCGGTCGCTGTGACCTGAAGAGGGGTGGCTGCGGGTGAGGCCGTGGAGTCGCGGAAGGATTCATTAAGACTATACTTTCAGGGATCATTTCTATAGTATCCAACTAGAGAAATGCACTCGAAAGTGATCGGCTGAGCGAGCCACGAGGAGGAGGCGTAGTGTTCTTTCCTGAGCGCGAAGCGGGCAGACGGTGCTACTTCGCGTAGCTGCCGTCTGCCATTGATGACCGTTCCGCCTTTTCAATGCGAAGAGGTTGGAGGGAGAGAACGCAGTCTGAGTGGTTCGCTCGCTTTCCCACCCCCTTTTTTAAGCAGAGTAAATAATAGAAAATCTTTAAAATTGGTTGTTTTGAAAAGAGTGGTAAACTGTATTAGTTATCTCTTTCTAGAAAACCTCCATGATTAACTGGCCCAATCTCTAGTCTGATAATTTTAGTCCCATTTTAGACTTGAAAGGTGATTGGGTAATTTGGAGCCAATCAGCGATAGAGTTGTGAAAGGTGAGAGAGTTCTAGTACCACTATAGCCATTACAGCTCATGATTTTGGGTCAATCATCAGGAGACTGAGCTCTAGTCCTGTCTTAGGCATGAAAGCTGGCTGGCTGACTTTGAGCCAATCATCAGGTGTCTGTGAGTTCTAGTCCTGTCTTAGGCATGAAAGCTGGCTGGGTGACTTGAGCCAATCATCAGGTGTCTGTGAGTTCTAGTCCTGCCTTAGGCATGAAAGCTGGCTGGGTGACTTTGGGCCAATCAGGTGTCTGTGAATTCTAGTCCTGCCTTAGGCATGAAAGACAGGTGGGTGACTTTGAGCCAGTCACCAAGAGCCTGTGAGTTCTAGTCCCACCTTAGCTATGAAAGCCAGCTGGGTCACTTTGGGGCCAGTTCTTGTCTCTCAGCTCAACTCACCTCACAGGGTTGTTGTGGGGAAAATAGGAGGAGGAAGGAGTGTTGGATGCGTTTGCCACCTTGAGATATTTATAAACAACAATAAAATTCAGGGTAGAAATAAATTTGGTTCACCTTGTTGTATTCACAGAATGCTGAGTTTCAAGTATGGTTAGATATGCGATCTTTGTCATCCTTGCAATGTGTTCAGCTTGCTGGTTTCTGAATCATTTCTCTTAATAGTAAATTATTTACTATTAAGAGCCGAGGTGGCGCAGCAGTTAGAGTGCAGTACTGACTGTGTTCAGCAGGTCAGCGGTTCAAATCTCACCGGCTCAAGGTTGACTCAGCCTTCCATCCTTCCGAGGTAGGTAAAATGAGGACCCAGATTGTTGGGGGCAATGTAAATATATATATATACATTGCTTACTGGTGTACACCGCTTAGAGAGTGCTTGCACTTAAAGCAGTATATAAGTCTCATAAATAAATAAATAAATACATAAATAAATTTAATCTACATAGCAATTTATTATTCCCCCCCCCAATGCTAATTCTGGCTATCTAAGCTATTTTTCTAATTCCCAATTTTGTGTCTGGTTTCTTGATTCCTTTCCTCCTGTTATTTGGCTTAGTTCATTGCAAAGGATGAACTAAGTTCATTTCCATTCCTGGGGGCTTCAGTCTGTTTCATTTATTAAATTATTCCCCCCTCCCCCTTGACACAGACACACTCCAGAAGACAAATATTCAATTCCTTGGCTGTTGCAGATGATTTTCCCCTTTTTGTTCATAATACATAAGAGAGAGCATCCTGTTTGGAAAGGACTTTTCTGAAACCGGATGTATAGGATTTCAAGAAAAAACTGATTTCAGATTATGGAAGGGAAAAGCAAGGATTGGCAGGAACAATTCATGTCTTTTACACCGGTTTGGTGAATCGATCCCAGCAAATGGAGGTGTGTGAACTGTAGCAAAGGATTTGAGTGTGCTTCTGTCTTCCTCCCTAAATAAGATAAAGGAGGAGAAGGAGTGGCACAACCTGGTGGCGGAGTCAAAAGAGGAATCAGTCTAGAATCCTTACATGGCCACAAGCAAACTTGCTTCAATTCCCTTGAATTCCGCTAACCCTTATCTAACTCTAACCAGGTGCTAACTATTATAGGAACAAATTAGACCTTCACCTCTGGACCTGGTAGTTTGCTCCTGACCTTTGACCAAATAGTATTTTTGATTTGGGAAAGAAGGGGACCCTGTTCTATTATTTGTTTCTGTGTATCCCACCTTTAATTTTTTAACAAATAATTCAAGGTGGTGAACATATCCAACATATACCTTCCTCCTCTTTTTCTCACAACAATGACCTCATGGCATGGGTTGGACTGAGAGTGACTGGCCCAAAGACACCGAGTCAGCTTTCATGCCTAAGGCAGGACTAGAACTCACAATCTCCTGGTGACTGGCTCGAAGTCACTCAGCTGGCTTTCATGCCTGAGGCAGACTAGAACTCACTGAAATCACCCAGCTGACTTTCATGCTTAAGGCGGTACTAGAACTCACTGTCTCCTGAAGGTTGGCTCAAAGTCACTCGTCTGACTTTTGTGCCTGAGGTGGGACTAGAATTCACAGTCTCCTGAAGATTGGCCCAAAGGCACCCAGCTTGTTTTCGTGCCTGAGGCAAAACTAGAACTCACAGTCTCCTGGTGACTGGCTCAAAGTCACTTTTGTGCCTGAGGCGGCACTAGAACTCACTGTCTTCTGAAGGTTGGCCCAAAGGCACCCAGCTGGCTTTCGTGCCTGAGGCGGGACTAGAACTCACAGTCTCCTGGTGACTGGCTCAAAGTCACTCGTCTGACTTTTGTGCCTGAGGCGGGACTAGAATTCACAGTCTCCTGAAGATTGGCCCAAAGGCACCCAGCTTGTTTCCGTGCCTGAGGCAAGACTAGAACTCACAGTCTCCTGGTGACTGGCTCAAAGTCACTCGTCTGACTTTTGTGCCTGAGGCAGGACTAGAATTCACAGTCTCCTGAAGGTTGGCCCAAAGGCACCCAGCTGGCTTTCGTGCCTGAGGCGGGACTAGAACTCACAGTCTCCTGATGATTGGCTCAAAGTCACTCATCTGACTTTTGTGCCTGAGGCGGGACTAGAACTCACAGTCTCCTGGTGACTGGCTCAAAGTCACTCAGCTAACTTTCATGATTAACGCGGGACTAGAATTCATAGTCTCCTGATGATCACCCAGCTGGCTTTCATGCCTGAGGCAGGACTAGAACTCACAGTCTTTGGCTTTCTAGCCTGGTTTCTTACCCAAGGCTAATCAAACTGGCTGATATGTATAATAGGTTAAAAATATGTGAAAAATATAATAAATCATATTCCCATGACCTCAGGATGGCCTTAGATGCTGAGCACCCCAAATGAAATCATTTCACTGCAGAAAGAGGTGCTGGCCACTGGAATTTTGAATCCGGATCATAAGTACGTTTTTGGCGGGGTCTGTCGGAACTTTGAATGGTCACTAAGCAAGTTGTCGTAAGTCGAGGACTGACCTGTGTACTTCACTCTGTGTTCCAATCAGGGAGAGACACGACTGGCTGGGTGGGCAGTGGATGATGGGAGCTGACGTCCAAAGATAATCTTGATGAAAATGGTATACGTTTCCCTGCTTCTGCTGGACTAGAAGACCTCTAAGGTCCCTCCCCATTCTGTTAATCTGTATGGTACTCTGTATTTCCTTAGCACAGTGGTTCTCAACCTGTGGGGCGGGACCCCATTTGGGGTCGAACAACCATTTCACGTGGGTCGCCAAACAACGCAGTCTGCCATTTTTTCCCCCCTTTTCCTTGGCTGTGCTACTCCCTTTTATTCTATTGGCTTTTGAAAGCCAATAGAATAGACTCTCTTGAATAGAGTCTAATTCTATTGGCTTTCAAAAGCCAATAGGAATTGTCCAGGCTGTCTCTGCCCTGCTGAGCCCGCCATAAGTCCCATTCTGCAAACGATGCTGCACCCGTTGAATAGTCCTCCACTTACGACCGGTTGAGTAGTCCTTGACTTATGACCGGTTGGGGGTCACGGCATTAAAAAGGTTGAGAACCACTGCCCTAGCAAGACTCCCAACGCGAAGCTCCCGCCTCGTAGGGAAGATGGGCAGCATAAAATAGAATGCGTTAATAAAATAAATGTGGAGCATTTTTTCTCCTCTCGTTTTGTAGGAATCTCCACCCAGTCGGTCAACTCCTTAGGACAAAGTCCGCTGTTCACAGCCGCCTTGCTCGGACTAGCGAAACTGGTGGACATTCTCTTAGATTACGGGTCAGACCCAAACCAGTAAGTACGAGACATCAATGGGTGAGAATCGGGATTCAGGTTAAAAAATATATATATATATTTTTTGAACAAAATTATTTTGATTTTCTGAAGAAAGTACGAGGAAAAACCCACTCTTTGCTCTTCTGTTGGGGCAGAGCAGGGCATCTCCGAAGGAGAATTTGTAGTACAGGCAGTCCTCGATTTACAATGGTTCATTTAGCGACCGTTCAAAGTTACAACGGCGCTGAAAAAAAGCGGCGTGCGACCTTTGTAGCATCCCTGTGGTCACATGATCAAAATTCAGATGCTTGGCAATGGGTTCATATTTATGATGGTTGCGGGGCCCCGGGGGGGGGGTCACGTGATCTCCTTTTGCAACCATTTGACAAGCTAAGTCAACGGGGAAGTCAGGTTCACTTAACAACTGGGCTACTAACTTAATTGCAGTGTTTCACTTAACAACTGAGGGAAGAAAGGTCGTAAAATGGGGCAAAACTCAACAAATGTCTCTAAGGGAAATTTTAGGCTGAATTGTGGTCATAAGTCGAGGACTACCTTTATCACAACGGGGAGGGGGCAAATATGTCATGGTGGAGATCTTGACTGGCAGGTCAGAGCCATGATTTAGTCAACAGATGCGGCACTCGGGACTCCATCTAGATTTTTATTGATTTATTGATAGATTTATTGATTTATTATGCTTTTATTAAACAGATTTATAAGGCTGCCCAACTCACAAATAAGCAATTATGCGTGGCTTACGACATTTCAAAATCCACCACATAATAAAAAAAAACCATAGTTGAAGTCCGCAAGTCCTAAAAGGGCCACGTTTGAAGACTCCTGCTTTAGAGAGTTGGAGGAAGTCGCAAAACCACGTGCGAAGCCACGGCTTGATTGTTGCGGTTGTTATTTCAGCCGTTGTTACGATGGGAGCACCCCAGTCCATGCCGCGGCCTTCTCGGGAAGCCAGTCCATCCTTAGCAAACTGCTCGACGCAGGCGGGGATCTGCGACTCCACGACAAGGATGGGAGGACCCCACAAAGCTGGGCTGTGACGGCAGGGAAGGAAAGCAGCGCGCAGGTGTGTCACCTTGCGGGCGTGAAGCTTGTGTGTTTTAAGTTGTCGTATGTGGGAGGAACTGAGGCAACACGGAGGCCCAGTCAGCTGTGGTGGTTCAAGATTCTGAGTTAGAAAATGGGAGGTAGCTATTTGGGTGGCTTTGTTTTCCTCCTCCCTCCTCAGCCCTTTTTTCCTTTTGTGCTGTGCCACCCGACACGCGAGAACCATCCATTTTTATTGATCACTTAGGCCAGGGGTCTTCAAACATGGCCCTTTTAGGACTTGTGGACTTCAACTCCCAGAATTCCTCAGCCACTATGCCTAGCTGAGGAATTCTGGGAGTTGAAGTCTATAAGTCATGAAGGGGCCATAGTGCCCCCATTTTGGCGGAGGAATTCTGGGAGTTGAAGTCCACAAGTCATGAAGGAGGCCATAGTCCCCCCATGCTGGCTGAGGAATTCTGGGAGTTGAAGTCCCCAAGTCATGAAGGGGCCATAGTTCCCGCATGCTGGCTGAGGAATTCTGGGAGTTGAAGTCCACAAGTCATGAAGGGGCCATAGTTTCCCCATGCTGGCTCAGGAATTCTGGGAGTTGAAGTCCACAAGTCATAAAAGGACCAAGATGGAAGACCTCTGATTTAGGTGCTCCTGGAACTCTCCAGCTAATCGCCCGCACCCCAAGTGCTTTGAATCTATAAATAAAAGAAAATAACCCCACTCAACTTGGATTTTTTCTTGGCAAAGATAATAGTTCCAGAAAGTCATGGGCGAATGGTGAATGAGAAAACCTGGCCCTTATTCAAAATAGGATGAAATATTGGCCATTTCTCCACATTTCTCACCCCATTTGCTGATCTTTAACGGCCTTCTGTTAATACCTTCAGGGAGGCTGTTTTGTTAAAGGTGCCAGACTAAGAAGCTGTGAGTTCGAATCATGGTTTAGGGATGAACCCAGCTGGGAAATTTGGGGGGGGGGGCAATGCCATCTTCTCAGTCCTAAAAAGAAGATACTTCTTGAGGTCATAAACACCGGGGGTGTGTGTGTCACAAAATATAGATAGTCCTTGACTTACGACTATTTATTTATTGACTGTTCAAAGTTACAACAGCACTGAAAAACATTACTACTCGCACTTACGACCATTGCAGTGTCTACACAGTTACATGATTAATATTTTGGCGCTTGGCAACTGGGCGTGTATTTATGACGGTCACAGCGTCCCAGGGTCACGTGATTGCCGCTTGCAATTTCCCAGCCTGTTTCCAACAAGCAAAGTCCACGGGAGAAGCCAGATTCACTTAATGACCGTGTGATTCACTTAACAACTGCAGAGATTTGCTTAACTCTGGCCCCAAAAAATAAATAAATAAAGGTCGTACAATCGGGTGTAACTCGCTTAGTAACCGCCTGGTTCAGC